TTTTTTAATCCTCACCCGAGACTATCTTTCCATTGATTTTAGGTAAAGGGAGGGAAGGAGAGAGGGAGAAAGAGAGAGATATATTGTTTGCTTGCCTCCCATGTGCACCGGGGATCGAACCTGCAACCCAGATACAAGCCCTTGACTGGAAATTAAACCCTTGACCCTACAGTGTGCAGGCCAATGCTCTACCTACTGAATATACTGGCCAGGGCTATTTTGCATCTTTAATGGTATTGTGTTTAGTGGTTATAATAATTACTAAGAGAAGGGTGTTGTAGTCCTTAACTATAGTTATGCGTTTGTCTATTTCTCCTTTCAGTTTTTGCTTCATGTATTTTGAAGCTCTGTTTTTGGGTTGATATATATTTAGAATTATTATGTACTCTTACCAAATTTTTTTTAATGTTATCATTATGTAATATTCCTCTTTGTCTCTGGTGATTTTCTTTGCTCTGAAGTCTACTTTGTCTAGTATTAATATAGCCTAGCCCTTCTAGCTTTGATTAGAATTTATATAGCATATTTTTTCATTATTTTATTTTTAACCTACCTAAATCATTGTGTTTGAGGTAAATTTCTTTTTAAAAAATTATTATTTATGGTTGACAGTATTACAGATGTCCCCAATTTTCTCCCTATTTGCCCCCTAAGATGAATTCCTAGTACACAGCACATATTTGTATCATATTTTTACTTTTCTATTTTTTAGGTGTTTTTATTTATTTTAGAGAGAGGGGAGAGGGAGACAGAGAGAGAGAAAAACATCAATGTGGGCGTGGCTTGATATTTATTTTAGAGAGAGGGGAGAGGGAGACAGAGAGAAAAACATCAATGTGGGCGTGGCTTGAGCATAGCGGAGGGGCGGTTAATTTGCACATTTCTCTTTTATTATATAGGATGGTGTGAGTCATGGGTCATTGAGTTTCTTTGCATCTTTGTCAAAATCATTTGGCATCAAAAAATGAAAAACAGTACACATAAGGGGAAAAAATTTTTGCAAATTACATACCAAATAAAGGAGACCTCTTTCTTTAACTCATGGATTATTTAGAAGTAGATTTGTTTCATTTCCAATTGTTTAGAGATTTTTTTGTTACTTTTGTCACTACTTTCTGGTGTGATTCTATTGTGGTCAGAGAATTCACACCCCCTACTGGGGATCGAGCCTGAAAACCAGGCATGTGCCCTGACCAGGAATCGAACTGGTGATTTCTTGGTGCATGGAATGATGCCCAACCAACTGAGCCACACTGGTCAGGACTGTGTATATTTTTAAATCTATGTTTCTAGTCTCTCTCTTTGGCTCTATCCACTGAGCCAAACTGGCTATGGCGAGGGTTACCATGTTTAGACCCAGAATACATGTCCTGGCTCATGTTTTGTGGGCTACGATTTAAATGCTAATCTAGTTTTCAAAGTCTTTGCCATGCTTTTCTGGCCATTCTCATTATGTGCTTCCCAGAGGTCAATCTAAAACTAATGGTGCTCCAGATCAATGTTCAGTTATCAGATCTTCTGCTGTTTTGCTTCTGTTTGGTCTCATACATGAGTTATACAAAAGTCTGCCTAATATTTTATATATAGGGTTTAAAAATCAGATGCTCTACCATAGCAGTTTTTCAGAAAATTAAACATAGAATTATCATATGGTCCAGCAACTCCACTTCCTGGTGTATACCCAAAAGAACTGAAAGCAAGATGTAGAAAAGATTTTTGTATATTGATTTTCATAGCAGCTTTAACCAAAATAGTCAAGAAGTAAAAACAATCAAGATGTCCATTTGTGGATGAATGGATAAGCAAAATGTGGGATATACATACAATGGGATATTATTCAGCCTAAAAAAGGAAATCTTGTCACATGTTAACACATAGATGAAACTTGAAGACATTATGCTAAGTGAAATTAGTCACAAAAACACAATACAGTGGGGCCTTGACTTACGAGTGTCCCGACTAACGAGTTTTTCGAGATACGAGCTGTCTCTCGGCCGATTTTTTGCTTTGAGTTGCGAGCTAAAATTCGGGTTATGAGCCAGCTTCAGATACCCCACCGCTAGTTGGCGCAGCGAACGTCACAGTGAACGCCACAACATCAGCCCAGCATCACGTGTCTCACTCGTTCACAATTGATTTGACATACGAGTAATTTGAGTTATGAGCTCCGTCATGGAATGAATTAAACTCATAAGTCAAGGCCCCACTGTACTATATGATTCCACTTATATAAGGTATCTAAAGTAGACAAATTCACAGAAACGGACAGAATTGTGCTTACCAGAAGCTGAGGGGAGAAGAAAAGGGGTAGTTGTTTAACAGGTAAAGAGTTTCAGATTTGCAAGATAAAAAAGTTATAGAGATCTATTTCACAACAATGTGAATATACTTAACATTACTAAGCTGAACACTGAAAATTGTTAAGATAGTAAATTTCATGTTATGTAATTTTGAACAAAATAAAAAAAAGACGGACATTTTGACATATGCTATAATAGAGATGAGCCTTGACATTATGCTAGGTAAAATGAGCCACACATAAAGGACATATATTATATGTTTCCACTTGTATGAGTGTAGTCAACTTCATAGAGACAGAAAATAGAATAGCAGTTGCCAGGGCCTCAGGGGAGGAAAGACCAAGGAGTTATTATTTAATATGTACAGAGTTTCAGTTTGATAAAATGAAAAGTTCTAGAGATGGATGGTGCTGATGGTAACAAAACAAGATCAATGTACTTAATGCCATTGAATTGTAAAACTAAAAATGGTTAAATGGATAAATTTTTATGTTAAGTATATTTTTACCACAATAAAGAGATCACTGGATAACTTATTAATAATTCTCCTCGCTATCTAGTTGGGGGAGTGAGGAAAGAGGTACCCCTCTTATTTCAGGGCAGGAATGGAAGACAGGGATCTGCCCATCATCTCTAGGATCAGAGCCCCAGGCAGGGGGGAATGGCTTTACTGTGGTGTTCACCTAAGTAAGGCTGCTATAGTCAACATATTCATATCTTGTTGGTCCACATTCCTCCCAGTTTTTTGCTAGAGAAAAAAACTGGGAGAAGTGGAGGGGGCTATTTTTTTTCCATCTGCAGCTGTAGGTGTTTTCTGGGTTTCAGGTCTCTACAGAGCTCATGTAGGAATGTATAAGGAAAAAACAAAACAACAAAAATAGGGAACTCATTACATACTTGGTATTTCCTTTAGCCTTATGAACACTAGCCAGTCCACCTTCATTCCTCCACCTTTCAGAGTCTTCTGTCAGTAGCTTTGTGAATTTTGCCAAGTTTTTAATTTATTTTTTGTTTGTATTATTTTTCTTGGAAAGAATATAGTGAAATTCGTTTACTACATTTATTTCATCTGGAACAAAACTTCCTGCCACTAGCTACACTTGCTACTTTTATACTGACCGTGTCCGCTTTACCAATTTTAGTAGTTAACCATATTTTACCACGTAGTAATTATTGATATTACATTTTTCCTGTTCAAGTTACTGGTGTGATATTCATGTCCTGACTGATAGGCACTTTTTGGTAATGATGAAGCCTAGGCTATGACCATCCATGTAAATGGAGTATGTGGAGATGGCCACTGGAAATGAAGATGCCATCAAGGAGAGAAACTGAGGAGCTGGAAGGATCATCTGCATCATAGTTGAAGTCACAGAAACAAGAGATGAGAGAAAGACCATGTGCCAGGAGCTCGTTGGCTCAGCACCTTTACCACTTTATGCCATGACCACCAAGCACTTCCACAAATGAACCCAGGAGCTCTGACAGGACATCCTTGTTTCAAAACCCAAATAAGAACATTCTGCATAGAACAGTTGTCATGGTTGGGTAATGTCAGGAAATGTAGTTCCAATCCTGGCTTTATCAGTACTTCCAGCCTTATGACCTTACCAAACATTTCCCTTTATTGAATCCAGGTTCAAATCACATTTCCTCACTTTGAATTAGGATGTTCATTTTTCTGTTTGCCTCACAGAAAGGCTGTGAAGGGAGTTTGCACACACCACTACCCATCTCTGTGAGAAGTCTCCCTCACAGATTGCCAGATGAATTTTTCTAAGTCACATCTTTTAAAACAGTAAGAAATCTGCTGAAACCTATGATGGCTTGTCCATTACACATTTAAGAATCTCCATGATTCAGTCCAATGATCTTGCAGCCATACCTCCTCCTCACATGGCCCTCTCCCATCCCCTACCATATCAATTTGCCATCCATACAGGTTAGCTCACTGATCTACAAAGTTGATGTTTTTTTTTTATTTAGATGCCTTTAAATAAGTTGTTGTCTCTGCCTGGAATATACTCTATCACCATATCTTCGTGTAAAACAATATTTATTCTTCAACACTCAACCCAAACACAATTCTGAGTACATAGGTCATTTTTCATATAATAGGAGGTGACCTTTTCCTCCATGTCTGACTTAATCTTCTTGGGAAGGGACACCCCACAAATGGTCTTATACTGTGGGTATTTGTAAACATGCCATGTTTCCTTCATTGGCTGGGAACATCCCTTAGGCAGGAGTACACTGTACTCATTTGCCTCTCCATAGCACTCCAGAAGAAGGCCTGGAATATAGTAGGTGTCCAGGGACTGTCAGGTAAACATATTGCTAGGTAGTGTAGTACATGGGGTTAAGTTGTACTTTTTAAGCATGGCTTATAATGGGGCCAAATTTGAATTATGTGTGGAGTCTATACATAGTGTGTATGATTTATGACCCTATAATTAAGAATGTAGTGGTACAGATTAAAGATATATGCTTGCAAGGGAGAAGTGCCGTGTGTGTGTGTGTGCGTGTGTGTGTGTGTGTGTATGTGTGTGTGTGTGTGTGTATGCGCACGCACTATGTGCACATTGGCATAGGAACACAGGAGAAACTCCCCGAGGCTTATGCTCTTACACTTTGGCCCACGCTGGTCATCTTCCATGGCATTGACCTTATTTCTTCCCCACCCAGCCCCTGCTTTCCTACCTTAAGAATACATCAGTCTCCAGTCCAAAGGCGTCATTTTCAACAGCTTTCTCAAAGGACATCATGGTGTTCTCAGGCGCCAGCTGTGGAAGAAAAGGACATCAGACCCTTTACCTCAGAGTTTCTCCCCCCAACATTCCTTTTATGGTAGATGGGAAGCCCAACAGTGAGCCCCTCTCGTCCACCCAATAGATCTGGGACTGTGCTCATCTGAGGCAATGTCACTGGGCACAGTAAAGAGAAATGGACTGAGAGTTAGGTGACCTGGCTGGGTTCAAGTCCAACATCTACAATTATCTTTATTTTTTTCATCAAAAGCCCATTCACTTTCCTTTACAGAGATTCCTATGGTTCTGAGGTCCCTATCTCTCACCCATAACCCCATGCACACTGGTACTCACCCACGTTCATCATGCTTAGACCTACCATGGGTGCACCTCTATGTCCAAAGAGGGCCGGCTTGGGTCCCAATTTATTCTTATTCTCAACGCAGGGAGAATAAAATCCCCATGGCACCACAAACAGAAATAAAAGGATAAGAAAAAAAGGCAGTCCAATAGCCACTTGTGCAGCTGAAAAAGTTGGAAGGAGGGGGAAGTGAGAAAAAGAGATAAAAAGGAATGGAGACCCAACCCAAGAAACTAACTATCCCAAAGCAGCAGCCAGTAAACACCCAGTGCATGGGTTTCAGTGCCTCGTGGACTGCCTGATTTACTCTCTATTTCCGCCATATCCCCATTTATTTTCAGTGATTAGAAAGTACAGCACTATCCAAATGTAAGCATTATTATTAAGGCAATAGTATTTGACTGAAAATATCCAGGAAATAAATTGTGCAGGAGGTGGAAGGAAGTGAAGGAGAGGGCATGTTAAGAAATACCTCCTCAGGAGTAGGAGTAGAATGGTTGGTTCTGAGAAAGCCCTGAAGCCAAAATGGCCCTACCTAGTATATATAAGGCAGTACAGGATAGTGGAAGGGGCACTGGCTAACAGAAGTCTGAGTTCAAAGCCAGACATCGCAGGGGTGGGGAACATGTGACCCAAGGGCCATATAAGACCCATGAAATCATTTGGTCTGGCCCTGCCAAGGTTAAATGTTTGACCAAATATAGCGGGCTAATATTTAAGTTGATAATTTTGTATGGCCTGCAAATGATGATATAAATATCCAAAAGGCCTTTGGCAGATAAAAGATTCCCAACACTGGTCTAATGTGTAGTTAAGGACACACTGCTTAACCTGCGTCTCCATTTTCTTCATTCTGAAAAATGGGGCTATCTTGCTGCTAACCACTCCTTCATAGAGTTGATATGACAGTATTTACCAATAATAGGTACTCAATGAATATTATGCATTTGCTTTTCTCTCTCTCTCTCTCTCTCTCTCTCTCTCTCTCTCACACACACACACACACACACACACACACACACACACACACGCACAGCTCATCCACAATACTTGTTATTACTGGCCAATCCCCATCACTTATAATTTTAGATCTCTGAGGATTTTACCTATTTGTACATATTTAAGCTACTATGTATACTTCAGTCACTTTCAAATCTGTATCTCCAGCTCTAACCTCTCAGCTTTGTGAGTCTAGCACATGTCTTGATTCTTTTTATCCTATGACGTTTACTCTGGTATCTTCTGAATCTAGCTAAAATTTCAGAAATGAAAAAGAAAAAGAGTTCATTATTGTCGCCTTTAAACTTTTGCCCCAAAACATTTCCTACAATTCACCCTCCACATACAGATACAAACAGGTACAAACACTCGCAATGCCAACACTACCAATCCAGTCATTCTCTTGTCTCTATCCTTGTACAATCAGGGAGCGAACACTCCCTATGAAACCAATAGTAAACAGAGATACATATAAAGAAGATGCTATTGGTTTCTCAGGAAGGGTGCTGAGAGATAACTCCATTCTCAACACGATTTAATGTATAGCTCTGATTCTTTTTTGTTTCTATGATATTAGGGCAAAGGATGGAGAGCAAATCAGAGGCAGAGAGAGATGTTTCTGCTTCTGCTCTAAACTCCCAGGTATGACAGGGACTCACAGGGGCCTGCTTTGCATTACTAGAGCATAACCAGGCATATCTGGACCTCGTATAAGTTCATTAGTTGAAACTAGTAACATCTGAATACAATCTAAAGGAACTGTGACTAGTACTATCACTCTGTCAAATATAACTAAAATGGCCTCCACCCTGCCCCAAACCTCTTTCCATTTCCAGACAGTCACTGTGCAACATCATGGAGATCATTCTTACTTTCCCAGGAGAATCCCTCTTTAGAAGAAGGCCTGTTTGATCAGGAAAATGTTCTGACAGGCCACATGGGGTTATGAGTTTGACCACAAGGAGCATGCCTGAGTAATAAGCTAAGTGAATTTCAAAGTCACATAGTGGTGGCTATCTACCACGCTTGTGTTCGGCTGAGTAGAGTATGTAAGCTAAAGCCAGGACATACCTTCTTGTTCCAAATGGACCAAGTAGTAGGCCACAGGCCAGGAAAGGAGAACCATCAGAGTTATCATGGTCAGATGCACATGAGGAGCAAACACCTGGGAGAAAGCCAAAAGTCAGGCTGACCACATTGGACAAACAGTACTTGACCTACAGGATGATGCTTACCTTCAGTGAGAGTCCAAACGTCAGCCACCTGTCTTTCCAGTAAATGCATAAAATCGACAGAAAAAAAGCGCATATCAGAATCACCAGCATAACGAGGATCTGCAGAAACAAAACAAAACAAAACAAAACAATCTCCTCACTTCCAGGCACTAGACTTGGGTCAGATCTGTCCTTGGGAGTTGTATGTGTGTCCCCACAATGGCAGGGGCGTTCTTTCCTCATTATTTTAACCTGACCGTCCTGCAGCTCCCTAGTATGGAACTAATCGTTTACCTTCTTTGCTCCCAAGTCTTTGTTGTGTAGCACGGCTGGAAACAAATCACACAGCTACGTGGTCTGATGCCTTTACTAATTATCACTTCCAACTCAGCTGAGCACACAGCATTGCCTGGCATCTCGCACTCAATCTCAACAATGGCCATTACAGATATTCACTACTTTGTTTTTATTTAACTCAATATAGTCACAAGTAAATAATATTTTGTGATTACCTTTTCTTTGTATGTTTTCCCCAACAGTCTGTAAGCTTCATGAGATCAAGTAAAATATTTATGATTATATCCTCGCTGCCTTGCAGAATGTCTAACACATAGTAAACTTTCAATAAGTACTTCTTGAGCAGATGAAAAGAATCTGCCTGTAAGAACACCATATACCTCATGGGAGAGGGACAGAGAGCCAGAAACGTCTATGAGAGAGAAACATCGACCAGCTGCCTCCCGCACAAACCCAGTGGGAATGTGCCCGCAACCAAGGCACACGCCCCCGACCGGAATCGAACCTGGGACCCTTCAGTCCGCAGGCCGACGCTCCATCCACTGAGCCAAACCGGTTAGGGCTCAATCAGTACTTCTTGAGCAGATGAAAAGAATCTGCCTGCAAGAACACCATATACCTCACAGAAAATATTAAGACCAAGCTGATATAACTTTAACTTCTTCCCCTTGAAATGTAGTCTTTCTACATTTGTCCTACTTTCTAGAGAGCACTTAGTTCCTTCATTTCTATAATATGTATATCTATTAAAGTAATTGAGACCATAAGTAAACCTCTCACAAAATAACTCCAAACCTTGCCAGCATAAATGTTTAATTTCACCAAATATAGGTTTGGGCAAAAGTAGGTTAACAGTTGTGGTATGGGAAACACAGAATGAAGCTACTGTAATAATCATAACCTGCATGTCTTTTTCCCTCGGAACAACTGTAAACTCACTTTTGCCCACCTCTGTACTTAAGGAAGAAACATTTCCAATCTTTAACAAACTCTTCCAGAAAATAGAAAGAGAACAACACTTTCTAACTTCTCTTTGAAGCCAACAAAGCATTAATACCTAAACTCAACAAGGACATTACAAGAAAATAAAAAGTAGTCATGTGCCACAATAACGCTTTGGTCAATAACAAACCTCATATACAATGGTGGTCCCATCTATAATAATAAAAGCATAATATGCTAATTAGACCAGACATCCTTCCGGACGAAGCCGGGGCTGCAAGGGAAGCCCGGGTCCCAGGTGCCAGAGGGAAGCCAGGTGCTGGCAGCCGGGGGAAGGAAGGCCTACTCTTGCATGAATTTCATGCATCGGGCCTCTAGTAAGATTATAATAGAGCTGAAAGTTTTCTATTGCCTAATTACATCATAGCCATAGTAATGTTATTGTGCAATGCATTAGTCAAGTATTTGTGTTGATGCCAGTGTAAACAAACCTACTGCACTCCAATGGTAGAAAAGCACAGTATCTTACCTATGTTTAGTTTTGTTTAGATACACTAATATTGCCTACAGTATTCAGTACAGCAACATTCTATACAGGTTTGTAGCCTAGGAGCAATAGGCTATAATATTTAGGACTGACTAGGTACACCCTATCATGTTGCAACGTTCACAAAATCGCCAAAGAATGAATTTCTCAGAACGCGTTCCCATTGTTAAGTGACATATGAATATATAGGCCTATCTCTCCTGTATATATAGATGAAAAAAATCTTAAATAACCTATTAGCAAACCAAATGCATCACAACACAAATATTTAACTGTCAAATCAGACATACACGAGTCTCATGGGATTCTGTGACCTTACTCAATACCAGCCTTAACTAGTGATTTTAAATACAGACAATTATAAAGTATAGATAAAACAGTTTCCCTTCGAGAAATCTGATCCTGCCAAATGCAGATATTCATAAAAAGTTCTTTTCTCTCCTGGACTAGGATACATGCTGGTTTTGAAGTTAACATGTGTGGTGTGTTTTGGGCAAAGTATGTGGAAACACTGCCTCACAGAAGGAGCCTTGGTGGTTATGGAGCATCCATATCTTATACAACTCCAGCCAGCCATGTCTCCAACCCTACAAACCTAGAAATTCCAGGTTTCTTTACAATAGGGAACCCAGATAGACCAGGTTATATCCTGCTAGATATGTTCATAGATAATGATTCTCATTATCTTTGGCTAATAAACATCTTTATATGTGTTTCCCAGGAGGTTGTGTTATTAGCATGTTTACAAGGAGTTTGGATTGAGGTCCTTCATTCTTTTTTGAGCATGAGGTAAAAGGGGAATGGGTTACAGGCCTGATGCTAACCATGTCCTTCCAGATTTATTCTGAGTACACTAAAACTAAAACTTCAACCCCAACAAAATCTCCCTTGCCAAGAGAAGCAGTCTCTCCTCCCATGTCTAATAAATCTAGTCCTTCGTTGGTGTGAAAAACTATTGAAATGAGTACACCTATTAGAGCAGTGGTTCTCAACCTTCTGGCCCTTTAAATACAGTTCCTCATGTTGTGACCCAACCATAAAATTATTTTCATTGCTACTTCATAACTGTAATATTGCTACTGTTATGAATCGTAATGTAAATATCTGATATGCAGAATGGTCTTAGGCGACCCCTGTGAAAGGGTCATTCGACCGCCAAAAGGGTCGCGACCCACAGGTTGAGAACTGCTGTACTAGAGCTTCTGAATTCAGTTTATCAGAATCCAGGTATTATGCATCTCAAATTGGTTCTATATCTGAAACCTTGGTTCAACAGTAGCCTATGCTTAATGAAATTGGTGTTATATAAAAGGCAGTATCCAAAAATTTATTGAGAAAAGTTTTCTGTATTTTTTTATTTTCTTTATTGATTAAGGTATTACATATGTGTCCTTATCCCCCCATTGTCCCGCCCCCACCCCTCCACTCGTGCCCTCACCCCCGTTGTCTGTGTCCATTGGTTAGGCCTATATGCTTGATCTCTCCCCTGACCCCCACCCTCGCCTACCTTCCCTCTGAGGTTTGACGGTCTGATTGATGCTTCTCTGTCTCTGGATCTGTTTTTGTTCATCAGTTTATGTTG